GAAGAAGAAGAAGAAGAAGAAGAAGAAGAAGAAGAAGAAGAAGAAGAAGAAGAAGAAGAAGAAGAAGAAGAAGAAGAAGAAGAAGAAGAGGAGAAATATTTTTAAAAGCTTCCTCAGGTTCGTTTGTAAAAATGAGCTGGGGACAATTTTGGAAGATGTTCTCCTCCTGTTTGTACCATGTTGTGAGGGCACTTGCCCAACGTGTCCATTCCACCAATTCTGGCCAAATTGATAAATTGGTGCTAAGTTACCAACCGAAGAAGGCCTCGTTCATATCTTGAATGTATAGCTGGTGCAGTTTGGATTTTTTTCTGCTCCGAGGATGTTGTGTGTTTCCACCTTGTTCCAAAATTGTGTGTCTCTCCGTTGAGCAGGCAAGTTCAGATGGGGAAGGGACGGGGCGAGGGGACCCACAGATCCTTCCTTGCCTCGCCCCTTCCTTCCAGACGAGAAAGCAAAATCAAGACCAAATTGTACCGTGCTGCCGTAGAGAAACGAATGCATCATACTGTAAATGTTGTACATAAACCGGGAGCCTACATTTTGCCTTTTGTATTTAATTATTTCCCCTCAACCCCCTTTCGGCCAGGATGCAGTTTTTAAGAGGTGCTTCATTAAAATTAAAACCACTGTTTTGGAAGTGGTGACTTCGCGACTTCTCTTGCTGTCTCCGTCGATCGTTCCCTCGGAAACAAAACTCGGTGGGGGCCAGTCGGTTTGAGAAACCTATCCAAGCTGCTAGGAAAGTAGAGAACTTCTGATGTTTGGGAATTCAAAGGAGTCAATTTACAGAAGTGGCATCCAACCACTCACTCTGGGAAAGGCAACCCCTGAATTTATCAAAGAAACGAAGCTAATAATGGTCCTAGCCTGCCTTTCTTTATTTACTTGAGTGATGCTCTGCCGTTATTTGTTTTTAATAAACAACTCAAGGTGGCGAACATGCCTAATATTCCTTCCTCCTCCTGTATTTCCTCACAACAATCCTGTGCGATTTGGTGTGCTGAGAGAGCATAACTGGCTCGAAGTCACCTAAGGCAGGACTAGAACTCACCATTGCCTGGGGATTTACCCAAAGTCACCTAGCCAGATTTCATGCCTAAGGTGGGACTAGAACTCACAAGTCTCCTGGTGATTGGCCCAATGTCACCCAGGCAGCTTTGATGCCTAAACCAGGACTAGAACTCTCCATCTGGTGATTGGCCCAACATCACCCAGGCAGCTTTGAAGCCTAAGCCAGGACTAGAACTCCCCATCTCCTGGTGATTGGCCCAATGTCACCCAGGCAGCTTTGATGCCTAAGCCAGGACTAGAACTCCCTGTCTCCTGGTGATTGGCCAGGAGACAGTGAAGTGGGTTGGGCTGAGAGACAGGGACTGGCCCAGCCACCCAGCTGGCTTTCCTTCCTAAGGCAGGACTAGAACTCCTGGTCTCCTGGTGGTTGGCCTAACGTCACCCAGCCAGCTTTGATGCCTAAGGCAGGACTAGAACTCATGAGTCTCCTGGTTTCTAGTGCCTTAACCACTAGATTAGACTGGCCCTACTGCTAATACTGCTAAAAATGATTTAACGGTGGGACAGATTTTCTCGAGAGATGGATTCACCTTGGCTGGAGGTGTTTAACTGGCTTTTGAATGGCCACCTATGGGGACTTTTTGGGATCTCTTCCAATCTATAATGAATGGATTAAATGGACCTTTGATGAGAATAATTATAAACACTTCTTGTGTTCCTTATTAATGAATGGATGGAGGGGCAGAGGAAGAGGTAGCCAACCAGCCCGTTCGGTCTAGCAGGGAAGGCACAAGGTAGAGATCAGGAGACGGTGAGTTCTAGTCCTATCGTAGGCATGAAAGCTGGCTGGGTGGCTGGGCCAGTCCCTCTCTCTCTCTCTCTCAGCCCAACCCACTTCACAAGGTTGTTGTGATGAAAACCAGGAGGAGGAGGAAGTATTAGGTATATTTATAAAAATAGCAAAAGTGGGATTTGAATAAACCAGTCTTAAAATATTTACCAAATCCCGCCAGAGCTCTTTGCAGCAAAAATCCATCTTAACGGGGCTGTTCTGTGACAGTTTTAAACACTTAATGGTGGATTACAGCCGATATCCTCACATATATATATTATCCTCAATATATATATTGTTATTGTGAGCATTGTATTCTTGGCCTGGAGGCCTCATATACATATATTATTATTGTGGGTGTTGTATTCTTGGCCTGGAGGCGAGGCCAGAGGGGGAACAGAGAAGAAGAATAAATGATGAAGTCAAAGGGAAGCTTAGAGATGCAAACAATCAGAAGAGATTAACAGCCATTCACCCAAGATTTATGGCCCTGCTAGGGAATTGCTTGCAGCTATTAACACAACTGGAAAGGACTAGCACACATGTGCCAGGGGAACCTTTGCCTTGTTAACACAACCACTATGATAAGAACTTTGTCTCTAGTTAATTCCAAACATGACAATTAAGCCTTTAGATGTATTCAATGTAAACTTTTAAAAAGTTTCATTTTTTAAAAAAATCCCAATTTGCTTTTGTAAAGAAACAAACCAGAATTCATACAAAGCCTTTTTTTAAAAGAGAGACTTTCTTTTCTTCCAAATTCAGCCCTCCAGTCTTTTAAATCTCTTTAGGTCGATTCTCATCAACTCACAATCTTTGTTAAACTTTTGAGGGTTTTTTTTTAAATGGTTCAAACAAAACCCCACCCAAACCACAAAACCCAACATTCCAGGATCTACATGAACAATCTGTATTTTCCTTTGTTCTTCTTCTGGATGTCTTAGCTAGCTTATGTAAAAGTGACAAAAAATTTGGATAACTTCTTTTAAGTGGAGTTTGGGATTCTTTGTCTCTCCAAGTTCTAATCTTTCTTAACCTGTTTCCACTTCTGTTTATTTATTTTGAATGGAATTATTGTTCTGGATTCTTCCATCTTAAGATACATAATAGCAGAAAGCACGTCAACATAGAAGCAAATAATGGCAAGCTTTCCTTTATGATTTTTTAAAGAAGGTAAAAATGAACACTAATAGAGCAAAAGCAGTAAAGAGTGCAGATATACTAATTTATTATATGATATTTCTCTTCTATTAGTTTTATTGTTTTACATATGAGGTTTTCATATTCCTACAAGCCACCTTGAGTCGCCATGTGTGAAGAGGCAGCAATATAAAGTTCCTAAATAAATAAAAGCCAAACCAAAAACACCCAAAACACCTCCCCAAAAATCAACACTCGGATGAACAGAGATCAACACCAAACTACACCAACAAATAAGAAGTAAAAAATACCCCAAGCAAGGAACTACCAATGCAGACAACCAAGATAACAGCAAACCACAGCCTAATGAAAGAACCACCAAGATGATACCACCAACACTGAGAAGGCAAGCCACTAATATCTAAACATCAGAGCAAACCTCACCCCCCTTCTAGCACTGATGATGTTACCTAGTTTGGTAATAAAACGTCTGCAAGAACATAACCAAGCTCTGAGAGCTCTGAGGACTCCACAATCCAACCCTGAGCTACCAATATTCTTTTCTATCAGTATGATGAGTGAATGGACTGGTAAACTGAGTTTAAACTATCATTCACTAATCTTGGCAATTATATGGATTCCAAATCCCTGAATTCCATAACCAGGGTGGCCATTAATGACAAGTCTGGGGATTGGAAGTCTCACCACCTGGAATTGGCCGAGTTTGAGAAAGGAGGGTTTAACTTTCAGCCATTCAGAACAGGGGTTGCCCCAAACTTGGCAACTTTTAAAACTTGTGCTCTGCTGGCTGGAGAATTCTGGGAGTTGGAAGTCCACAAGTCATAAAAGTTGTCATGTTTAAAAGTTGCCTCTGATTCAGAGAGTCTCAGGTTAGCTTTCCTGAACTTCACAGTTGGCAGGGGGCAGAATTGGGGTGCAGAGCTGCTTGCCACACACTTAGAAGTTGGGGCATTTGATGTCAAGACACTTAACTTTTTCCTTTTAATATAAGTCCATTTCATATATTCCTATTGTGATGGGCCATGCAAAGGAAAGCTAATTTTACCCCATGTTGGGCGATTTACCCAGCTTTGGTGAAGCACTGACTTAAGGCACGGAGTGGTGGTCCCTGCTGGCATTTGGTAAAGACATAGGTGCAGGCCCCAGCCAGTCAGTTGGCAATCCTGCCACGCAAAGGCTTCAAAAAATCGGCTTTGCTTTACTTTCCAGAGTCTTTCATTTAGTCATTCACTTATTCTGCAACCAGCCTGCGCAAAGAAGCCAAACCTAGTTTGGCTAGCTCTCCTCTCCACCTGCCCTCTTCCCTCAGCCCCTCCCGAGGCGCCCCTCGGTCGCCTAAAAGGTGCTAATTGGCCCCCTGGGAATCCGAGAGAGGCCCGCCCACCAAATCGTTCGCAATTAGGCGTTTAGGAGGGGCGCAGGTTCATTCGCCTCGCTCCAGGTCGCAGGTAAGAGTTGTGGGGGCGTTTGGCTGGAAAGGGGGAGAGGCAGGTGCGGGGCATTTCAACTCGCCTCCTGTGCATTGTGGGGGTGTTCCCCCCCTCCCCAGAAGCAGCCTTTCCTAAGGCTTGGGGACTACAATCCCCATGTGGCTGCTTGCCTGCCTGCCTGGTTGGCTGTTGTAGTCCGCCGTGCGCGCGTGGCGAGTCGCTTTTGGAGCAAAGCTGCCTGCTAAGGCCTTGCCAAGAAGGAGAGGCATTTAGGTAGCAGGTGCCTCCGGATTCAGCGCAAGGGGCCTCGAAGGATTGGGGTGCGCGTGTCTCTGGGCCGAGGGTGCAAGAGCGCCCCCCCCCCAGCGTGATTCCTCCTGTGGCTATGGGAGTGCGCGCGCTGGGGCGCGTGGGACTCCAAAGCATTGGATCCCTTCCAGAGACCACATTTCTGAGGATCTGATTCACAAGTATTGCTGCGCGCCCCTTTCTTTCTCCAGATTCTCTCTCTTTTCTGAGCCCTCCCAGGCCAGTTGCTTTATCCTAATCTTTCTCAAACCCGAGTAAATGATCCAAAAAATGGGGAAAAGTTGATATTCTTTCCTTTGGTTAACGCAGGAACCCTATATTACCCAAGAAAGGCAGCATTTAAATAAGGATTTTGTGATTTATTTAAGGAAGGACACATTTTGGGAAGCAGCCTTCTGCCCTCTCCTTTGCTGCTTTCCTTCCACCAGTTTGAACCAATTTCCTTTAAGCCACAATTCTCTAGCTTATTTTTCTCTAGCCAGCATTCGGGGTTCTGTTAGATTAGAAGCAGGGTTTGGCTTAAAAAAAAGAAGATCCGTTTTGCTACAAGGTGCTTTTTCAAAAGGCAGCTGAACTTGGGTTTTTTTCTCTTTTTTTCTTGAAGATATTTTGCTTTTTTCTTGAAGCCAAAACATCTTTTTATTGGAGATAGTTTTTCTGCCTCAAATCTTGACAGTGACCTCCCATGCCTGGATTAATCTGTTCTTTCCCTGCTTAGCTTCCAAGGCTAGTTTTTTTAGAGGAAGAAAAAAGGTGCTTGCTTACATAATCCAGAAGATTCAATTCTTGGTCTCAAGCCTGCAAGGCTGTTGGCCATACTGGCTGAGGAAGGTGGGACTTGCAGTCCAGACAGGCCCCTCAGGGAGGAAAGTTTGCTATCCCCGAACAGATAAAATTGCAGTTTACTCATTGCAATGGAAGGTGGCTTATGCATTCACATACAACCTAAAACTTGCTAGTTAGGATGTTTGGGGCTTGCAAGTTTGTACAGTCTAATAGGGCCCAAGCTAGCTAAATACATTTGCGTGTTGCAAAAACCCTCCAAAATGGAGTTACTTGGCTTGGAAGGGATCACAAAAAGGGAGTTTAGGAGTTGTACTTTAGTTGCTCCCAATTTGATTTGAGGAAGTATATTCTGGAAAATCGCACATCTGCTCACATAACTTTTACTTCCTGTTGTTTCACAGTGAAGCAGCCATGTTGGGTTCCTCTACTACACCATGCCAAGGGACAGGAGGACCTCAGCCTGCAGACCAGCCCTTTGCCCACAGAAGACCAACGTGGCCCATTCTCTTCTTCATTCTTCTTTTCTTCACCACTGCTGCCAGCAAGGAAGATCAAAGCTTTTTAAATAGAGTTTCTGCTATTGGTTGGCCAACTGGCAATGTCACGACCATCTCTACTGAGAAACCCACAAATCTCGGACATGCCCAGTGGGGCCAACCCAAAACAGACTTGTCTTTTAGCAGGTTATTTAATCAAACTGGTGTAAGCCAGAGAAATGCCAGCCAGTCTCATATCTCTCCTCTTCAACATCTTGATGCTCTCAGTGATGACAGAAAGAGCATCAGAAGATCTTACTCAACATTAGCCAGCGTTCATTCCATGGGTACAAGTCTTCAGGATATGGTTTCTTCTACTGGAACAGAATCTCTTGGCACCATTGAGGGAAGATCAAGGTTTCTCCCATCAAGTATTGAAGGAACAGCTCAAAGCTCTGATGCTTCCAAGTTTTTCATATCTCATAGCCATAACTTATCAGGTCTCACTTCTATTCCATCTCATGTGCCCAACTCAAGAAAGACCCTCTTTGACCAGACAGCCAAGTATAATGAAGAATATGATACTGTTGGATTGGTTACTACCCCAACAGATGTCACCATTCCTGTAACTCATCCTTTCTCCTCCCTTTGGGTCTCTGCTAGATACCCCGTTGAAACCACCGCTCATGTTGCTATGCCTACCTCTGCTACCTCGACAAAATATCAGTTAGAAGAGACCAGTGGGGTTCCCACTCAACCGCAAAGCCTCAGTTTGTCTTCACGTGGACGTATTTCCAGAAGGGTTGAGCTCCGTGAGGTTTTCCCTCCGTCCGTTGCAATTGCTAGATCCCATCTTGATCAAGAGAATTCCACAGCAATCCATCCTTCTGAAGAAAGGGTCACAGCCTCACCGCCTATCCATAGCTTAGTTACAGGAGTGAGTTCTTCAGCCCAACAATCGACATCGGATTCCATCTGGCAGGGATCTCAACAGCTTGAAGTCAGTTCCATGATGCCATTGACAAATTCCAGTCCAGCAGGCTCATCTCCATTGGAGTTTTCTCTTGATGTGGCTAATAATGAGAGTGATCAGATGGTGCCAGGCCCTACTGATACTATTCCTTCGTCTGTAGCCACCAAGATACCAAGACACAAAGTTTCACTTGGAGTGGCACAGCTTCCTTTTGCAGCTGCAACTGTTGGCCTTCTGAAGGAAGCCAATCCACAGAGTTCTGTGTTGAAAGAACACAGCGAAAGCTTTCCAACAACGTCATCTTTTGGAACTTCAAAAGAAGGTGAGATCTCCTTGACTTCTCATAACAGGCTAAATAGCTCCCTTGTGGAAGTCATCAAACCGGAACCAAAGGGCAACGCTTCTTCCATAGTTGAAGGTTACATTGATCCTACAGTGAGTACCATCTCAAAAGGTGAAACCGATGCAACCAGTATCGGTGTCCATTTCTTGAACCATCAGACTTCTTCACCATTTAGCACGCTGCTTTCTGGAAATGCTAAAACCAGACTCCGAGTTTCCTTTCAGACCGATCTGTTGGAAACTACAGCCCACATTACTGATTATGGGAAGCTATTAGATACCCAATACTATGGAAGAAAGAGACAGATCACAGCAAGCGTGGAAGAGATACCTACTTCAAATTCTCCTCTGACTGCTATGGAAACTGATTCTGTCAGAAAACTGACCAGTGTCCAGCCAGTAGATGCCTTGTCAAAGAGGGGAACTGGAACTACTCCATTATCATCTCTAAGTTCTACCACTTCTTTGTCCAAGATGTGGCAAACCTCAAAGGCGTCTTCTGAGCCTGAGACAATTGCAGATTCCTTGGTGATGAAGGTATTTAGTCTTGGTACCACAAAAAATGATTCTGTTCCATCATTCCCACATTTAGATACAGGAGATGTTCGACATCCAGTTGGAGCAACCTCAACTAGACTGACCTACGCTGATCTTCCAGAAGGACACACCACTCCATTGGAGTCTTTTGGTAGGCCTTCTGTTGAACAGAAGCTTCCCAGCCCATCAGAATCTCATCCCACAGTTTCTCTTCCAGGTTTGATAGAATTGGATAGATCTTTAGTCACACCATCTCACCACTCTTCATCGTCTAGCGTTACCTTCATTCCCTTCCCTAGAATCCGTGTTCCTGAGTCAACTTCGAAAACATTTATTAACATTACGGAGGGCCACCTGGTTAGAAAAGGGCAGGTGATACCTACAGGTACAAAGTCATTCAGTGCCACACCCCTTTCTCTAGAGTCAAGGAATACAGTGGATGGAATAGCATTGTCCTTACCTACAAAAGTTCCCAGAGTTGGCTTAAGTACCTCTTCTGTGATGGTCACCATGGAGAACGCATTGGGACACCAGGTCACAGGTACTTCCACTGCAAATAATATACAAACGATTGGCAGAACAACTTTGTCCATTCGTAGCTCAAGATTCTCCACATCCAGTAATTCTAATGTTCTTGCGTATCCATCATCTGTCCTGCAGACCAAATCCAACCAGGCAACTCCTCTATTTTCTGCTTCAACTACGCTGTGGACCATTCAAAGAACTCTTCCAGTTGAGTCAAAATCCACTTGTAGGAACATCTCTTGCCCAGTGAGTATCTTCACACCACCTCAGAATATATCAACTCAAAGCATGACTTCCCGACCATTCTCGACTAGAAAGTTTTTGAACGCTGTCTTAGGTACAATGGAACCCGAGAAGAACGTGACCCTTGCTGATGCCAAGGTGTCCAGATCCGAAGAGATAGAAACGACAACATCCAGAACAAAAATTGTGACTGGAGTCCAACACGATCATTCTTCCCAGCAGCCCAGGTCCAAATTCACCACCTCGCCGTTGAACCTGTCAGTGAAGGAGAATTTGACCCCGAGTAAATTCGCTTCAACTGTTCCAGCAATGCGTGTTCTATCTTTGTGGTTTCGTCTCATCAAAATAAATTACACACGCTCCCTGATGAACAAGTCTTCTGAAAGTTATAAGAAACTGGAAAAAGAAATTAAGTTAACAGTAAGCATTGTCTTCCTTCTCTTCCCTTCCTTGGAAGCTTCCTTTTCTTTTTTAAATGAATATAATCCAGTGTTGATGTTTTTGCTAGGGTATTCCTGCACTGATTCAGTCTACAATGTTTCCACAGTTCCTTAGTGGCCCTTGATGGCAGAATTCTTGATATCTTATGACAGGTAACCAGGTACAGCTGAGAGCTCTGGATTCCAAAGATCAAAAAAGGGTTTTCAGGAGGCTCAAGTTTCTGACCTTCAGGACCTAGGTGTAGAGATATTAAAAGGCATCAAAGAGTGGGTGAAAAGGCCTCTGAAGCGCTGCTCCTCAGTCTAACATAGGTAGACTGAGGTAGGTGACACATTGCCCTCTGGAGTTTAATCAGATTGCAATTCCAAATGGGGTCCTCACCATTGGCGATGTTGCTTGGTTCTCATAAGGAACTAGAGTCGGGGAACATCTGGAGAGCTTTGTCTCTCCAGTCACTAATCTAGATAGTATTGATCTGTAGATGAAAATTTTATCCATAGTTTCTTCATGGATAAGGAGGCAGGCCCTGACACAAACATATTGAATATAAAACTGGATTATTGATCCAATATGTTGTGCAGAGGTTCTCCAGGAGATTCCTTGCTATATCAGAAACCCAGCAAACGTTTGCCAGAGGTTGATTCTGTATCCTTCTTAAGATATTTGTGACTATTGAGCTAAATTTTCAAGAGTGAAAACATGTAATCTCTCTTCTTCAATTGGAGTAATGGCTTCAGGCAACTTATATTTCCTACTGTTGGAGATTGTAGGTCTTTTAGGATTCAAGACAACAGGGCAAAGAACCCCAGAACTTTATTGATATAAACGATAAGATAATGGATCCATAAGTGTCTTTTCTGCAGACAGGAACTCTGAAAAAGATTGTGTGGACGGACCCTATCTGGTGCCAGCTTGAGCGTAGCACCTTCCTGGTCTGCCCTGAAGTCCCATCCCTGACTTCTCTTCGCTTAAATACATTTTCATGTAGGAAGGTGATCTGATTTAGGACTTGGAGGTGCTTGCCAAAGGGCATTTCCAGGAGAGATAGCTTTTCTTGGCAGGCGTCTGTCAATTCATCCTCCCCTCTGTTCACAATAACGATAAGGTTGAAGTAAATGACATAAGACCGGTGGGGTCTTTTGGTGCTGAGAAATAAATAACAGTCTGTTTGTGCATCAAGGTCAGTACAGGAAGTTTTTAGAAGGTAATCCAACAGAACAAGCCTGCAGAAGCAAGGAAGGACTATATATGGCGTGATATGAGATCATAGGTTGTTTATGTAAGGTACCAAGGGAAATGTGGACTACAACACTCCTCATCTTTTGTGTGTGAACACAGCATCAGCGTTCCAAGTAACAACCTCCAAAGGAAAAGACTCCAAGACTATCATTTTCGCAAAGATCCATTTTATTAGAGATGTCCTATTGGCACATCTGAGGAATACCCCAAATCTGAGACTTCCGGGTTATCCCTAGCTCAAAGAGGATCCAAAATCCAACCCCTACATCCAACAATCCATCACATGGTCCAGTCATTACTTCGTTCCAACTGGAGACTATCCCCAGTCACTCCCCTCCAGGTACAGGGTTACGTGTCCTTGACTATGAGAAAGGAATGTTGTTGTGGCTAATCTTCCAACACTCCTTGAAATTTCCCCTCCCAAATTCCCAGGCGCTGAATGTGGCAGCCCAGAAGCCCCAAAGGAAAATGGCTTCCAAGCTGACACACGGGAGTCTGGGAATGCAGTGGAAGGGAGAGGAGAATGTCCGTGGAGATTCTCAGTCACCCAGGTCGTAGTTGTCCCAAAAGTGCTTTTTTCTCAAGAGGCAACTGGACTTTCTGGTTTTTCTTTGAAGACGCTTTGCTTCTCATCCAAGAAGCTTCTTCGGCTCTGACTGGATGGTGGGGAACGGAAGGCTTTATATTCCTTGTAGACAGCTGGTCATTTGCTTCCTTTTGGGGGGTCATTGAGGCCACTTGGAGGTTTGTCTGTATCCTCAGGAAACAGGAAAGCCCAGTTGCCTCTTGAAAAGGTATCTTTGGGACAAGGGTGAGGAGACATAAATAATCAAGAGAAAGGTGCGATGTCCCTTGACAGCTTAGTTTACCATTCCAACAAGTGGCTATCTAGGCTCTTCTTAAAAGTCTCCAGCCATCTGGGTGATGGAGCACACAGAACTTCTGAAGGCTAGTCTTCAGAACTTAATGAACTTGCTATTAATAAGGGTTGAAAATATAATTTCCATGTCTTTGTTTACCCCAAGACTAGCATTAAAGAGACCTTACTGAGATTTTCTGCTCTTGCTTTCATGATCTTGTGGATCCATTGCAACAGAGTTGGTTGTTGAATAAGAAAAGAAACATTATGCAATATCCATGGATTATCCATCTAGAGTTTTCCCTAACAGCTTCCTACATTTTTAACATTCTTCTGGGCAAAACCACTCCTTAACTATCTATTTTAATGTTCTGCTTCCAGTTAAAGAAGATATTGTCTACCTATCAGAACTTTCTGCACGCAAGGGTTCTTCGTTTCTTGTAAGTAGGCTGCCAGGTTTATCGCTCAGTTTCTAGACTGGAAGAAACCCATGGAATTAAGGATAGATACAAGGGTATGAAATACCACTATGGAGATTTGGGCAGTTCTTGGTTTCTGAAAGGAATGCCTCTTAAATTGGGCATAAGCACACAACCGTGCCTACCATCCCTGTCCTATTGTCCCCATTTATTTGTACCTATTTCCTGTATTCATACTCATGTTTATTCGTATATCATCTTGTAAGCGACTGACAAATCAAAATAAATAAATACATGAAATAAAAATAAAATAAAATTGATTCTGTGTTGGTATAATAATAGCCCTTTTTTCCATTGGTTTTTCTACATTGATTTTGGATGTATGTAGAATTCTCCCAACTGAATGCTTTGAACAGAAGTTCTGAAACAATTTACCAGATCAATTGCAGATTCAAATCAATTGGATCATTTGGAAAAAAAAACTATGTTAATTCTAACCCATCATTAGTCCTGTTTGCCCATGTAGCAGGGAAGATGGAGTGATATATGCAGAGAGTATTCTCTCTAGAGATTTTCCTCTTTTTTTTTTTTCTGGACAAAGGCACCATGTGTGAGATGGAACCATAATACAACTTTGTCTCACCTGGACCTTTCCAGTGGTTGCATTTAGACGTCCTGGACCACTGGCTGACAATTCTTGGAATTCTAACATGCTAGGAAGGTGTGGTGAAGGTCAGGCCACCACATTTGCAAAAAGTGCCTATAGATGTTCTCCTGAATTCTGTCCCACAGGAATGGATCTGTCATAGTGGAGAGCCAGGTGGTCTTCCAAGGAATGGGCCACCTTCCCACCCCATCTGACATCATACGGACAATTGTGACGGGGGTTGAGAGTCGGAGAATCGATGCCTTTTTTGACTGGAGGATAGATGTGAGATCTTTGCATTCAAATGGTGAGTCACCAGGCAATGGTTTAGTCCAGTTGCCATGGTTTAACCTTTTTAGATACTTTTGGCCTGGATGATTGAGTCTTCATTTACATAAACAACGGACTTAATTAAGGAACTTAATTTCCTTCCTGCAACAAGGCAGTAGCAAACTTCATTTGCTTCCTGGAATTTTATTTGTTAGATTTACATCGATTGGTTGATTTGTAATTAATTTGTAATGGGAAGACGCCTCTGCTCGTTGACATGCTTCCGAAAATTGTCCCCTGTTTTCACTAGGATTCAGCTTGAAAAACCTAGAACCTGAGAAGTTGGCTGTATTTTTCAGTCTCCTGGAAATGGGGTCCATACCAACCTTTGATGACAAGAACTTTGTCCAAGAACACTTGGAAAGTGTGAAGATCAAGGTAATGGAATGGTAACGCCCCCGACTTCAGGCGTGGAGAACACCTGATAGAAGAGAGGGCCATTGTGAATGAGTTTAGCCAGTCCTGCTTGGTTAAATTAAATGCCCCAGGCATTTAAATGAGTAGGTTGCACCCATACTTGGTCTACTGCTTCCAAATTAAGATCTCCGATAACTTTCCTCGATGTGCCAGGAAACCTTAAGCTTAATGAGTTGTAAGTATGCTCCAAGTTTTGGGGAGGGATGAGAAATTAAGAACTTGCCCATAAAGGTCGTAAGTCTTTTTCTGTTGAGTTAATTCTTAACTCTGCAAACTGAATTTGTGACTCAGTGATACAATAATTTCTGCCTGTACAGATGAAACTGTTGCTTGGAACCCGATATGCAGTTCATTTGATCTCGCTTGTTGATAAACGGTAAGTAGCAACTTTCTGGGAAGCATCAATTCTCCAGTGGTCTGGACATTTTCCTCCCTCTCTCCCCCTCTCCCTCCCTCTTCCTCTCCCCCTTCATCTATATCTTATCTATCCTATCCTATCCTATCCTATCCTATCCTATCCTATCCTATCCTATCCTATCCTATCTATCTATCTATCTATCTATCTATCTATCTATCTATCTATCTATCTATCTATCTATCTATCTATCTATCTATCTATCTATCCATCCATCCATCCATCCATCCATCCATCCATCCATCCATCCATCCATCCATCCATCCATCCATCTATCATCTCTCATCTATGCTTGCAGTCAAATGAATATCGAATGCTGAATTTTCACTTCTCCTGGAAGTCAAGTCTTAAAATAATTCCTCTCATACAGAAATACCCAAGGTGGTGTTGATGTAAATGGAAATATCTTCATCAAGAGCGATAGTCACGTGGACGTTCACTGGATTCTCAGAGCACTGATTGGGCTTTCAAATGTCTCCGTGGACCTCATCTCGCTCTCCATCAATGGTCAGTAGGTACAGATCCATGACTGACTTTAGGCCTGAGCTTGGGTTCAGGGGAGATGTACCTTTTTCCTTACGTGGAACTGTTCGATTTTAGGTTCAAAGCTGAGTCTTCAAGTCTTTCCAGTTTCCTTCCTGATAACCAACAGAATATTCAATGAGAAGATGTTGGACCGTTCTTCTGTAGAACGTCAGAACATCGCAAAAGATCTCTCTAATACGGTGAGATATAAACGATTACTGGAAATTTAAATTCATCCCTTGCAAAACTGGTTGAAAACTCTTTTTGGTGTTTGTTATTGTGAACATTAAAGAATATAGGAGGTTTCTATGCCTGTTTAAAACAGTAAAGGGTATATAGATTATAAAGTCTAATTTTCTTAGGTCTATGCATAGTTCTTTTCTAACCAGGGACTGAATGATAGATTTTTCTGGTGAAGTTTCTCATCTCTGCAATATTTGTGATAATGATAAATTGGAAGCTGTAGATTTCCTAAGCTTAGCTTGGAAATGCATGGCAGGTTCAGCTCTGGATAAGCAATTCAGGATAATTATTCTTCTTCTTTAAAGTTCACACGGTATAAGGCAGGGTTCCCTAAACATGGCAACTTTAAGTTTTATGGACTTCCAACTCCCAGAATTCCTCAGAATTCCACGCTAGCTGGGAAATTTTGGGAGTTGAAGTCCACAAGTTGCCAAGTTTGGAGACTACTGCCAAGTTAGAGCTGGAATGATGAGGCATGTAATAGCTGAAAAGGTGATGCATAAGGCTTAAAGAAGGACTCGGATCTGGGCTCACCTTGTGAAAATGATTGCTTTCCAGCTGACACGAATACTTGGCAAATACAAAAATCTTCTCCAAGTGACAATCCGTAGGATCACGTAAGTTAACTGAATTTGTCTGTTTTTCATAGCCTGCTTATTAGGTAGCCTGTTGCTGATGCCAGCTGAAGATCACTTTTCTTCAACTTAGTGTCTACCTGTTTGGTTGGTTTACACCTTCCCAGTTAGTAATTTGGCCATGCTGGCATCCATCCTATTTGGAGAATACCTGTTAGGGTCTTCTTTGAGTCTAGGATGAAGCCATAACGTTAGCTTTTTCTCGAAACCAACAACCTTGGGGGAGGCTGGGCTCGGAGAACTGAGTCGTAACGTGACTTCTGGGTGTTGGGTTAGTGCAGTGGGTGAACCTGGCTAGTCATTGTGAGATTAGCAACCCCTGGGTTTTAACACCAGGTGTGAACTAGATCAACCTCCTTCAGCCATGTCTTTTCTCTTGCAATTGTGTAGAGGTGGCTCTCTCGTTTGTTATGGAGATGTGATATTCCAGCCACCGGCGCCAAGCAACAAGGACGTCCTCCAGACGCTGGCATTTTCGGTCAATCCAAAAGATTACCTAGATTCCTCAAGTTTTCAAGTGGATCGGTTCTCCTTTACTGTGGCAGGTAGGATTTCATTTGGGCCTCTTGTTCTAAGAGGAAGCATCAAGTGTCCTCTAAACCCATGTTGGGTTACAACCAGTGGTGGGATTCAAATTTTTTTTTAACTACAAGTTCTGTGGGCGTAGCTTGGTGGGTGTGGCATGGTTTGGTGGGCAAGGCAGGGGAAGGGTACTGTAAAATCTCCATTACCACCCCACTTCTGGGGGAAGGTTACTGCAAAATCCGCATTCCCTCCCCACCCCACTAACCTGCTTTCCAGCTCCGTTCTCCTGTTCAGGGCAACCAAAGAAGACCCAGCCAATCAGCTGGGACTCAGTAGGAGGCGGAGAATAGATGGGGGCGGGGCCAGGCAGAGGTGGGATTCGGCCGGTTCTCCGAACTACTCAAAATTTCCGCTACCGGTTCTCCAGAACGGCTCAGAACCTGCTGGATACCACCTCAGGCTACAACTTTCATTTCTTCAAGACCGTTGAAGCCAGGGATTCAGGCTCTTGGGGAAAATGCTGCTTTGATGGGCTGCTTTGCAAAAGGCAGAAGATGAGAAAGAGAAGTGTTAAATTCCTGACTTTGGTTCCCGCTGGAGCTGCTGGGCATTCTTAACCTGGCAACTTTGGGCAGGTTGCTTAACCCTTTCCGGGATAATACGGTGTGAGCTAATGCAGAATTTGCCATGGGTGTATGACCTGATTTAATTCTTTTTTTTCTTCTTCTTCATTTCTTAGGTGCTGGGCTGGAGCCTTCCTTGAAAAAATCAGGTGTCCCAGTCTATGCTATAGTCCTCATCCTTATATTTCTTCTTGCTGTAATTGCTGTCCCTACCTTCCTTTGGCTGGTAAGAGCTGCAGCCCTAATCAAGAGATTTACAACCCTTGCTGGACAAAAAACCTCACAAAACATCTCAGCTCTGTTCCACCCCATTCTCTGGGTGTAAGGGAGGGGCTGGGTGGCCTTACATCATCCTCATCTGATTGCTCCTGTTGTCTTACTTTAATCACCTTCTGGCAATTCTTGCCTTGGAGTCTCCCAAGGTTGACATCCTACAGATTCATCTAGAGAAGCTTATTCTGATCCATATTCTGAATCTTGAGTCCTAAACCTGGTTCTTTGGTCGCCACGAGATTGAAAAGGATGTTGAGGTTTTTGAAAGGGTGCAGAGAAGAGCAACCAAGATGATTAGCGGGCTGGAGGCTAAAACATATGAAGAATGGTTGCAGAAATTGGGTATCGCTAGTTTAATGAAAAGAAGGGCTAGAGGGGACAGGATAGCAGAGTTCCAGTATCTCAGGCGCTGCCCCAAAGAAGAGGGAGTCAAGCTATGCTCCAAAGCACCTTAAAGGCAGGACAAGAAGCAATGGGTGGAAACTAATCAAGGAGAGAAGCAACCTAGAACTAAGGAGGAATTTCCTAACAGTGAGAACAATTCAACAACTTGCCTCCAGAAGTTGTGGATGTTCCAAAACTGGAAGTTTTTATAGAAAAGATTGGACATTTGCAATTGCTTCTGGGAGGGGGTGCTCCTTTTCAGAAACCCCAAAGATGTCTATATCTTATTCTAACTCACAGCTTGCTTTATTCTTTCTTTTTCTTTGAAGCCCAAAGCACTTGCTCGCCGTGGCAAAATTACAATCAACAGAGAGGATGCAAGAGTGTGTATAGAAGTATTTGAGCTGGATAATCCGGGATATCAAGCTACAGTTGAGGTAGAATTGGGAAGTGGGGATACTTTGCAAACGGGCCCTTCCAGGGAAAAACATAATCTCTAGTCCACCGGGGTGGTTTTAAGGACGCGGTGGCTCAGTGGCTAAGATGCTGAACTCATCAATCAGAAAGCTTGGCAGTTCAGCGGTTCGAATCCCTAGCACCGTGTAATGGAGTGAGCTCCCATTGCTGGTCCCAGCTTCTGCCAACCTAGCAGCTTGAAAGCATGTAAAAATGCAAATAGAAAAATAGGGACCACTTTGGTGGGAAGGTAACAGCGTTCCATGCGCCTTCAGCAGCGTTTAGTCCTGCTGGCCACGTGACCACAGAGACATTTTCAGACAGCACTGGCTCTTTGGCTTTGTAACGGAGATGAGCACTGCCCCCTAGAGCCGGAAACTACTAACACAGATGTGCGAGGTGTCAGGGTTCCGGCGGTGACCCCAATTAAATCATGAGTCTCGAGCCAAACTTCCAAAACTTCAAATGGATTTATTGGGAGTTAAACACGTCCGGCACTGCCTGGGTGAAGCCAACTCTGAGGCACATAATTTATTGTCACCCTTGACCCTGGTTTTCCCCCCACCCTTCTGGGTGTATCCTAATTCATATTCTCCAATGGGACACCTCCATAGCCCAGAGTCCTCAGTCATGCTCTCCAGTTAGAATTTTGCACGGCAGAAACTTGGTCACCTAGTGACTATCTTTGAAAACATTTATGGAATGCAGTTTCGGTTTGCAAGCTGCTGCACTGCTCCCCCCTCCCTTTCTGTTGGCAACTTTAAAAAGACCATTGAAATATTTGATGAGTTGACATGAGGGAGATCTTTAACTTTTTAGTGTGGTTTTTTTTTTTTACTCAGTGGACATTTTGTGGAGATGCTAACTGTAGGTAGTCCTCAACTTACAACAGTTCATGTAATGACCGTTCAAAGTTCACAATGGCCCTGAAAAAAGTGGCAACTGACTCATACTTAGGAGGGTCGCAGTGTCCTGAGGTCATGTGATTCCCCTTTTGTGACGACCTGACAAGGCCAGTCAATGGGGAAGCCAGATTCGTTTAACATCCATGTTACTAGCTGACCAACTGCAGTGTTTCCTTAACAACTGTGTCTAGTATGGTGGTAAAACGGGATAAAATCCACTTCACAAACGTCTCGCTTAGCAGCAGGAATGTTGTGGTCATAAGCTTGAGGACTAACTCCTTTTCCTATAATCCACAGGCAAAGATCAAGGACTCCTGCAATTGAATACCAGAATGTCTGAACCAGAACAAAAATTGCAACCCTTTCCGTTTGTCAATGCCACAGTGCGTCACTGGTCGATTTATTAGATTGAAATCTGAGTTTTATTCTGTGGAAAAGACTCTAAAGCTAGACATGGTTTTAGAGAGGCAACTGTTTCTGTTTTTTGGCTAGGAGCTTTTAAGGAAAGGCAGCTGGGATGCACCACTTTTCTATTGCATCTGGAGGTAGATGTCCACCCTCAAGATGCTTTCTCCCAAAGCAGCCATCCCGGTTTCTTTTATTATAATAAGTTGGATCTTTTAAATGATGTCTTTCAAGTATTCCTTGCTATTCTTTGAGTGAAAGAGAATGGAACGATTCCATTTTCCCTATTTTCTTTTTTTCAGATAAAAATGTTTAACCTTGGGGGGTGGGAGAGGGGGAGGGGAACTGCATTTGGTTAGGTGTTGAATTTTTTTGGGAGAAGTAGAAAAATCGCCTTTGGCTGAAAGGCCTGATGGTTGACTGTCAACATGTGCAAAACTGGAAGCTTGTTAAAATGAAGGAATGTGGCACCGTCGTTTTTTAAAAATCTCTCTTTTTAAAAAATGTGATACGTTTGTAGGCTGTGCAGAACGTGAAAAGCACAGTCCAAATGGTTGGATTTGAAAAATGGATGGGAGGATTCCAATTGGTTCTGATCCCAGGGTCCAAACTGATGGAGAAAAGGCCTCTCCTGCACTCACACCAAAATAACTTAGCAGATTTTGGAGACGTGCCGTTTAACTCTCCAAGGGAATTGATTTGATGCCCAGATCGGATTGGATTGACTCCAGATTAAATCTTTGCCAGTTCCTCTTTGCCATTCTGAGCCGCCTTCTTTTTGACTTCCTAAAATAACCTCCCAAACTCAAAACTTGATTTTCCAAAGCTGCTTTTTAGCACCGTCTGAACCTTAGAAATCTTTTTATGCCCAGTGTGCTCATGAAGAACCCAAGACCCAAATGATAGAGGAACCCACAAAAGGCAAAATGGATTTTTTTTTTTTAAATTGCAGTATTATGACGTCGAGAATTGACAGCTCATGTTTTTAATTCTTCCTTTTCTCCCTGGCTTGACAATTTCCCTAGCTCCGTTGCCTTGACTCTATTCCGCTGCTAGCGATGCGTAACTCTCCAGGGGCTGTCAAACTACAGCTCCCATCCCCGCAGGAAGGATGGGAGTTGTAGTCTAAACACTTCCTGAAGTTTCACCGTGGCCTGTCACAGCTGCGTCCATTCTGCATTTTGGGGAAAGGTGAAATATCCACTTTGCTGAGTTGCAGTTCGAGACAGAGGCAGTCCTGTTGAACTGCTGAGGTTTTGTTTTTTGTCATTTCTCCGCACATCACTTCCTTCCTACTCTTACTTCCTTAGTCTCACCATCTGATGGACTTTATTGTTTGTTTTAATAGCGAGCAAGTCAAACCTAACTGCTGAAGTCGCTTCTTCCAGGCTTCTAGCCACCGAAACGTTTTTGTTGTATTAAAATCTAGCGCTGAATAAATTGTAAGAAACTACCTTTGCCTCACACCTTATTTTGAGTATCTGGTGCGGGAAGCCGTAGAGTTTGGGGAAGAGGCAGGGTGTGTCTACAGATGGCTAAGAAAGATGGTTTTCTCTGAAATTCCTGGGAAGTGAACAGAATAACAAGAGGGTGGAAGGTCTTCTAGTCCAACCTGTTCCGGCAAGAGTACCGTTCCAGCCAAGTGGCTGTCCCAATCTCTTCTAGGGAATTCCACAAATCTTAAAAAGTTGCAAAGTTTGGAGAGCTCTGCTCTAGCGGTTAAAGGCAGCAGGTTAGACAAGATGGAACACATAGAAAGCGGAGCTTTGATTACAACTTCCATTTTGACTTATTGACTGCGTCCTTTTGACGGTTAAAGAGAAGCAATCGGCCTGAGCAAAAAGACATGGCAACTCTCGTCAATTTCCCCTTAAACAGAATAACAAAGAGTTGGAAGGGACCTTGGAGGTCTGCTAGTCTAACCCCCCCCGCCCCCCCCGCCCAAGCAGGAAATCCTATATACCATTTCAGACAGCGACGGAGCATTTACAACTTCTGGAGGCAAAGCTGTTCCACTGGTTAATTATTTCCACTGTCAAGAAATTTCTCCTTAGTTCTAGGTTGCTTCTCTCCTTGGTTAGTTTCCATCCATTGCTGCTTCTCCTGCCTTCTGGTGGTCAGTTGCATAAACCAGTGGCCCCAAATCTTTTTTGAACCAGGGACCGGTTTCACGATTATTTATTCTTCCACGGACCGGTACCTGAGTAACGCGAGACTCCACCACCATCGGGACGGCTCTTCGAAGCCGCCCCCCCCTTCGATAAAACTAAGGCGCGAGCACCCAAACGCCGCTTTCCAACCGAAAACCCGGAAACAACCGAAAACCCGGAAGTGCTGTCGAAACAAGATGGTGGCGCCCAAGCTTTGCGGCCCAGTAAAAAATGATCCATGGACCGGTACCGGTCTGGGGACCAGTGGTTGGGGACCCCTGGCATAAACCATATTTATTTGATTTGTCAATCGCTTACAAGTATAAACATGAGTAAAAATGCAGGAAATAGGTACGAATAAATGGGGACAATAGGACAGGGACGGGAGGCGCAATGGTGCACCTATGCACACCCCTTACAGACCTCTTGGGAACGGGGTGAGGTCAATAGTGGTTAGTTTGAGGTTAAAGGAGTGGGGGTTAGAGGATGTAACAACAGAGTCAGGTAGTGCATTCCAGGCACTGACCACTCTTGTTACTGAAGTCCTACTTTCTGCAATCTTTCTGCAAGACTCCGTACCAACGGTTAAGTCAGACAACAAAACAGACCCTGTTAGGTACTTGGGTTCCCATATAATGCTAAACTAAACTATTATTTGGTTTAGGAATCACCTGGGGATCTCTTGTTTCTTTTGTGAACTTAACCTGAACGCCTATTTAGATTGCTACAAGGCAGCCCGTTAACACGCAGCCCAAGTAATTTTATTGCACACTGTCCAGAAGGATATGGGCGCTTTAAAAACACCACAAATAACTGCCCACCGCTGAAACTCCGTCCAGCTATTGTCTCCCCCAAACTTGCAAAAATTCCCGTGAGATCAAAGATTGGAAAAAAAAAAATTCATTCGAGGTTGACCACGATATCTCGGAGAAGACTTAACGATGTTTATTCTCGAAACTTGGGACCCTAAGCCGCCTCTTTTATCTTCGTTGGTTAATTGGACGGTGAGGCTGTTTAATTACACTTTGAACCTGTGTTTCTTCCTTTAAACGAACTTCTAAAGGATGCCAAGAGACGGGAGTTTATCTTGCATTCTCCCTGCAGCAGGCAATCTAACGCTGCTCATTATATTGTTTGCCCCGGGTTGCCTTGAACTTTGAATTCATTTTCAAACTTTCCCTGCTTTTTTATGTTACAGGTTCGGCTCTGTGGGGCTCCCAAGACCACATTCTTCAAATATTTTTTTTTTAAACAAGTTTTATTGATTTTACAGACAAACAAACAAAACAAAACATCATTAAACATTAAAAACATAAAACCTCTTTCCATTGTAGATCCTTACAAGGCAGGTAACATATTCCTTTATATCACGTACTTATAATTTATCCCATTTCCATATAAACACGTAAATTCCCTTTACCAAATTCCACATTGTTTCTCTTTAATCATTATTGAATCATATTTCCTTTCTGATTTATCTGCTATCCAGTCATCAACTTTATATTTTCCTCTGGGTTGTTTATAATTATTCTCATCTAGTCTTCCTCCGAGGTTTTATTATTTAATTCTTAATTAAACACACACACGTAAGACATAGACATAAAAACATAAAACTTTCTTCTAGAAAGTAACTTGGCCCCAGATTACCACTTTTTGTATGGACTTCAATTGAATTCATGCTCTTCTTATATACCATTACCCATCTTATTTACCATTCTATATCTATTATATAACTCCTCTCCACTCTCCTCTCCATTCATCAAATATTTTAATAGCCTTTAGAGTTTGTTTTAAAATGGTCCACCTTGGTCATAGGTAGGTCTTACTTGGCTCAGTTAGCCGACCACCCTGAGATGATCTCGGTTAATCTCAAAAGGCGAAGCGGGGAGAAGACCTGGTTAGGAGGAGGAGGAGGATGGCTGGCGGGAGATTAAAGTTAAGACACAAATAGTCAACTTTTTTTTATCAGTTTAGCAAATAAAAAATTCATTTCCTTGGCAAGGTTGCCCTCTACTGATGTTTGGTAGCAACGACTACACGACCCCCGTTCAAGAATTGAAATCTGATTGGGACACGTTCATATATGAAGTAGCCAACTATAATGTATGTGAGGAACGACCTGGCGGGGTAAGGGAGGAGCTGCAGCCAGGAGGATGGTTGAATAAGAGGCAGCTGGGCCCAGAGAAGGAATATGGATGCGGGAAACATTTCAGAATTGGAACACAGCTGGAAGGGATCTTGGAGGTCATCTAGCCCAGCCCCCTGCTGAAGCAGGAGATCCTATTCCATTTCGGATAAGTGACTGTCCAGTCTCTTCTTAAAAACCTCCAATGATGGAAGCGCCCACAACTTCTAGTGGCAAGCAGTTCCGCTGGTTAACGATCCTCAGAAATTGCCCCTACTTTCCTGGATGTAAAGAGGGACGGAGAATATTCTTTCAGACTGGCGAGATTCCCTGGATGTAACGTTACAATAAGCTGGTTCATTTGGGCGTGGGTCTTGTCTGGACACCAGGGGTCTCCAACCGTGGCCACTTGAAGACTTGTGGACTTCAACTCCCAGAGTTCCCGAGCTAATGTGACTTGGAGGTGGAATTCTGGGAGTGGAAGTCCACAGGTCTTAAAAAGGCCAAGTTGGAGACCTCTGCTGTAGAGTTTTAATTGTTTTCTTGTGGTTATTTTCTTTCCTGAGTGGGGGAGAAGGATCAGAGACTCCTGTGTTCTTCTCCTTAGAAAGCCACGTTTGGTCAGAACGCCATAGTTGATCCCTGCCCCACCCAGTGAGCAGTGCCTTCTCTATGCATGCCTCCTTTCCTGCGTGCTCTGGCCAGATGTTTGGGATCTCTCTGCTTCCCGTTGGCAGGGTTGCGTTCCACCTGGCTAAAGATTTTTGGAAAGCTCAGTTCTGGATTGTGTTCTGGTCTGGTTGCAAGGGTGGTTCTGCCCAATTATGGATCTGGCTCTTTCTTTCTTTCTTTCTTTCTTTCTTTCTTTCTTTCTTTCTTTCT